AGTTAATGCTGAGCCCCATTTTTCACAGAAAATCAACAGAAAAATAGTTTGCTAGCTGAGAGTTTCTCAGCGACCCGGACACTTTACACTGATTCCAGAAATGTCATTTTTCAGCTGCCTAATGGCTTGAAAACTAAAAAGCAACAAGCTCCATAGGGCATGGCTTGCGCTACCAGGCTCTGCTCTGCTGTATGGTTTTGTTGTTAATTGTTTGCATTTCGTTGCATCTTATGTAAGCTTTATCACAGAAGGGGGTTTCTCAAATGGATTAATTTTGCCAGCAAGCACTGATGGAGAGACACAATGCTGAATGAAGATGTACTGTTTAGCAGATGTACTAATTTTACAGAAGCTGAATTTAAATTCTATATAGTTTACTGTAGTAGGTCAAATGTGCAGCTCGCCATGCCAACTATGAGTATTATATTTACAGCCTACTTCCATCAGCAGTCCATGTACTGCACCTGTGAAGGAAGGTTAGATTTAACTCTGCCATGTGAAGGGCAATTCTGTACTGAGTTGAGATCAAACAGCGTGCAGTATGATTATCCTGTCTTATCCTGCAGATGATGTTGGCCATTTAAACATCTAGTTCTCTGACCTCTCTATATGTCTGCTGCCTGGCTGTACTCTATATGAAGCACTATTTCCTTTGCATGTTGTGTTTTATGAAACAGTATCTTCTTTCATCTGCTTTTGCTGGCTGTAAAAATCAGCTAGTGAGACCTGGTTGTCATATGATAGTACAACCTAAATGCAGTATATGAAACTGTCAGGTGAAAAAGCAGTCAAAATACGCTGCAAATCTACTTTGCCTAATTAGTATGTTACAGTACTGGAGATGTGAGTTCTCTTTAAAGCTCCTTTTAAATGCGTTGGGCATATCAGAATATAACTGCAATATCAGCATATTTTATTATAACCTCTAATAATCAGTTTTATAAACAATTGCTTTTGTTAAAGAAATGCCCTATTTTAAAAACCAAATTATGATTGGAAGATAATGGATGAAATTCTTAGGTGAATATCCTATAAAAAGGTGATGTTCAAAATTACACAGGTGAGTTTTATTTACAAGTTTACAATTGTGTCAGCAATTCACATTCCATGTTTGTTTAATCTTTCTTGTCTATGAAATACATTATAAATATTTACTGTAAGTGCTAAGTGAAAAGCGTGGAATATGATCCATGTTAGCCACTGCCAGCAATTCTTCTGTGCTATGGACTATGTTTAGATGCCACAAAACCAGAGAAGGCATTTCGACTCTAACTGCATAAATCAAGTAGCCTGTTCCTGCTTTTACTAATGCTACTGAGCATCTGGTATAGTGCTGCTAAACTCAGGTAGGTTATGGTGACTTGGTGTAAGAAAGGCATAGAGCCTAACGATGTATGTGTGTGAAAATGAATGCCGTGGGTTGGATGGTAAGTGGTATTTCTTGAATCTCTGCGTCCTAAATTCTCTGAGTTTGTTTCTGCTGGAATATTTTTGCCTTAAGGTTCAGGGTCGCTGACCTTATTTCAGCCAGTGGCTGGCTGGCTGACTGCCTGTCTGTTGAGATGCTGTCACCTGTCTAATGGAGCTGGGTGGTCAGTACTTGCCCAACGATTGCCAGCAACGGCCGCTCAAAGGATGAGAGCGTACGGGTATTGTAGATGACTTAGCGTGTTGGAACAGTTGGTGGTGTTAGGAGGGCTTAAGCCATATGTACAGCACTTTTTCCAGTGAATAAATGTTAGTAGGTCTTACCTGGAATATCCAACTTCACTTCTGCTCTTAAAGGTTTCTGAAAATTATGTAGGCTGTTCAGTGCATTAAAACAAAACTGCAAACTGCTGTGTTACATGAGGATGTGAAAATTGCTAGCTCAGATTATTAATGCTACATACAGCTGAGAAGATTCCCAAAAGTCAGAGAGAATATGTTGGAGATCATTGCTACCAGAGTGCTTGGCAAGGTATCAAATGAATGCTGTAAATACAACATAACTATGCTGATAAAAATATCTGAGCCAAAATACTGTGCTGTGTATCAATACAAAGCATAAGTAACTACAGTAAGGCAATATTCTTTGTGGAAAAATAAGTTATTTATGAAGAAGGCATAGTGATATGCATAATGCTGGAGAGGCAGGGATGAGAGGGGGCTTGGTTTTTAAGCTAACTATCAGTGAGCTCTACTGAGATGCAAATTACTGTTGCTTGTTTCTGCTGACAGGTATTGCATGTTGCACTGCATTTTTACCTTGGTTTTTTTTTTGCTCCATAAAGCTTCTCTTCAGCACTGGGGGAGGGAGGTTCATGTCAAAGGTCATTTTTGCTGAAGTTGTTGCTGAAAAAAGACCACTTGTGTAACAGTCTTAGCTGGATTTATGCTGTTATGTAATGTCAAAAGCATTAGGAACATAAATGCAGTCTCCATGTCTTCCTTGCTAGTGGAAATACTGGGGAGGATGTTGGGTTTGTGGGATTTACAGAGAAAACACAATATTAGTTGGAATGCCAGAATCAGTGGTGTTTCAGCCAACTCTCAGAAAGTGTATTCTGACCAGCGTAATGTTCAGAAATAAATAGGGGACTCTAATGTTTCTCAGTTAAAGTTGAGTCTGTCTGCTGTATGGGGCATTTGAAACTATTCTTTTAACCGTTTTATGCAGTGTGAAGAACCTGCAGCAGAAGGGTAAGACATGGAGATGTTTTTTCATAAAGCTAAATAGACCTGTGAATAAAATGAACTCCAAGGTGTCTTTTTCAAAAAATTAGCTCAGAAGGATATCTACACAGTATTTTACTAGGTATGGTCAACCTGTACATGAACAGTTTTTTCTACCAAGGGCCTTTCAGAGCTGGCAGTCAAGTCTGGGACTCCATTTTGTCATCAGCAAAATTCCACTCGTGCTGAATGGTTTAGGAAACTTCTCTGGTAGGAAAATGTCTAAAGTCTTGTATGCAGTAATGTAGGCATTTTAAGAAATGCCCTTATATATATATATAAGCATAAAGAAACCCACAGGAGTTAGAATATTTCATTATTTGTTTTTTCCATAGGCAACTCTTACCAAAAGCTACCTGCTCATAGTTTGAATGAAGCATCATTAATGGCAATTTTAGGGTCTCATCCCACTCTAGTTTATATGAGAGTATGTCCACTGACAGCAAGAGAATGATAACTGTTAAACTAGTTGAGCTAGAGAATGAGGCCTCAGTGAAATAAGAGCATTGCAATCTTGATATGTCCAGGGACAGACAGCAGGGCTGAGGAGAAAGGAGATCCAGTGAAAACAGTCTTTTTGGTTGTCTTTGTGTTCTGCCAGAAGAAATAAACCAGTGCTGCTACCGTTCTAATTATAACTTGTGCTGCTTCTGTCACTGTTGCAATGTTTTAGCCCTCGTTGTCATTCAACATTGTGCATGTGATTGATTCAGCTTTATCTATCTCTAGTTTTCTAGAGATTTGGTACCCTGGTCTAAGTTGCTCCCTGTAGACTGCCTTGCTAGTCAGTGAAAACAGAGACAAGCACCTTCATAGAACAAGCTGTTTTACTTTCCAGTTTTAGAACTTGTTAGGTCAGTGGTCTGTAAGGTATTTTGTGGCTTAGGAACATAAAATCAAAGTATTTGTGTTGGGAAAAATTAATTGTTGATAGGCTCTTGTCTGAAAGAATAGAGCATTACTTGACATCTGCCTTCTAACCTGTGGTTTGTAAAACATAGACCTGAACAGAGGACTTTCAGCAATAGGTACTGCTAGGTCTAAAAGGACCTGACATAAAATGTGATGTGCTTGTTGCAAATGTTAATCTTCTCTTATTTCCCCTCCTGCCTCCACAAAGTTACATTGCTTTCATATATCTAAAAGGAAGAAGAAAATAGTCTGTTTCAGGAATTAGGCAGTGGGATTTTTTTATTGATCTCCAGTGTATGTTGGTACACATTTGCAATCTTACAGATTTTGTTCAAAGGACAGGTAGAACCGGTGGAATTGTATTTCTGAGTTTTTCATGATCATTTTTTCAGTTCTTGTCTGCCAATGCACACCACAGGATACAAGACTGATTATAATGTGCTCTCCTTTTGTTACTAGGTCAGTACTTCTAATTCTGAGCTTGTCTGCGTCACTGGGAGTATCAGATAACTTATTCAGAAGGAAGCCTCTGACATGCTCAGAGTTAGTTTACTCAGCAAAAAAGCATCTGTGCAGAAAAGCTTATTGATTACTCTGAGAATGCAACTTAAACGCACTGAAGGGTCTATGTGGGTCAGCACATATATTCCAGATCAATAAATTAAGATGGTTCTGTGTTTGCATGTATATGCTATATGTGAAATGAGTGACTTCTAAAAGGATTCAGTACTATTAAGAATATGCATTCACTGTCTAGATTTTGTTCATCTTTCTTTCTCTATCTCTCCCCAAACCTTCTTCCCTTAAAGAAATTTTTAAAAAGGAAAACTGTAGCATATGGAAACAGATTCGATCCATTTTGTCTAATTTGAAATATCAATAAATAAATTGGAAGTGCATCTTTTAAATATACCTAATATGTATATGCATGGAAGAGCAGAGTTTATATGTCCTGATTCTTTTATATGCTTTAGATAGCAGATTTTGCTACCAAGTCAGTGTCTGCTGTGACAATGCTTATTCGATGTAAATTTACAGAAAATGTTTCAAACAGGTATTCAACAAATCACTGCATTCTACTTTTAGACAGCTTGCATTGACCCACTCAGGGGTGTTATCTACAAGGGGGAGAGACAGTGAAGGATTGCTCTGGAGAGCACTTTGCTCACATTAGGATTAAACTGCACTTAGGAAGCTATGCAGAAGCAGGCATCTTTGTAATTTGTTTTGGGCTACAGTTGTTATGTTCTTAACCTTTCAGTAGATGGGATTTTAAAATGTGGAAATAAGGGAAAAAGGAATTAATTGTAAGGGATTCTTGCCTCTCTTTTTTTAATACTTATCACTATTTCTGTTCTATCTTTTGTTTCCAGTTACAAGAAAACACATGAGACCCTGAGCCATGCAGGACAAAAAGCAACAGCAGCCATCAGCAATGTAGGAACTGCCATCAGCAAGAAGTTTGGAGATATGAGGTATAGGGATCTGCTGCTTCTCTGATTTTATTTTGAGGACAAAAAATATAAGTCATCTGTCAGCTCTTGCTTTTCCTTCTACATTAGTGTTTTAAAGGTTCAAGTACCTAACACTCAAGTTAGAGTGTCTTATAACATTCATGGGTTCAAACAAAAAGAAGGGATAACAATGAATGAAGATGTAATTCTTATTTGAGTCCTTGTTTAAAAAAGTGCAATTTGAAATGTTTTTGGAATAACTTTGCAAGCTCAAGGAAAAGTACAAGTAAAATGGAACAAAAAAATGCAGTTAGATGTTTATTAACCCAATTTTATTCAGATTCTGAACAAAATTCTGGATTCTGGAGAGCAACACCATCTGCAGAAACCAAGCCTGCCTTGGAGCTGCTTGTAGAAAGATAAATCAAAAAATATCTCAGGCTATTTTTTATCAGCTTTTTCAAGATGTACAAAGGCAAAATTTTGTTCTGCAGTTGTATGTATAAAAAAGGTGTGGTGAAAGTAACAGGAGTTGAGGTCAGGAGAACTGTAACTTAAGTACAACTTACATGTCAGGATTTGTATGTTATGTATGTTTAAAAGTGTTGGTCTTGAAGTTCCTCAGAATGATAGCATAAATGAAGAAATTGTACGCTGTAAACCAGCACTTCAGTTTTCAACTTGGTAGCAAGATTACAGAACTTCTTCTCAGGTGTTTTAGGGCGCTGATTTTTTGTGATGAAATAAATGGACATGGGTAACTATAGTATTTTGTTTGAGCTGCAGAATTAGGGTCTAATGTATTAGAGATATTGATAGGTACACACTTTTTTTTATCATTTTGTTATGTATGAGGTAACCATATCCTAAGATCTGTGTGAATCCATTTTACAGTATTTCAAGTATATATGGTTTTGTTGGTTTTTTTCTGCAGAAGGCTGAAGCATAGTTCTTGGCAGCTATAACTTATTATTTTCACTTCTTTACTTTGAATCTTAAATCTTTAAGAGTTCCTCCTTTATACCTACCTTTTACATACAGCTTAATGTATGTACATTACAAAAGTACTACTGTTTTTCCAGGTGAAACTAAAAAAGGAAAATCTTCATCACTGCATGATCTGCTTTACAATGTCTATTTCCACACTGCAGTTTAAAATGGAAATGTAGTGAGTGACTTGCAAGCAGAGTATGAACATGAACTAAGAATTGTTTGACATGACAGAGTTAAACATCCATAGGTAGTATATGCCTAGAGAAGGATATAAGAATAAGGAGGCATGCAGTTACATTTTCCTAGTACATTTTTTTAGCATTCAACAACCTGGGAGCTGAAAACTTTCTAAAACAGAGATTTGAGCTTTCATTTAAAAGTCTTTGAAGGGTTTTTCTTCATTAATTTATGCTGGGTTTTTTTAAATTTATTTTAACTTGTGTGAGCTTTTGACATTCTTAACACCTCATGTCTCCCCAGATGAACAGATAGTTATGTGGTAAAGAAGTGTGTGGTTTAATTGTTTGTTCATTCATTCCCTATTCTGAGTCTCCCTGGTCTTTCCTTTGATGCCTTCTGGCTCTTCTGTTATGAGAAACAGTGAGTGTAGTTCTTCAGCCATCCTTCATGTCACTCATGATTTCCTGTGGTTTTATCGTATATCACTTCAGTTCCCTCTTTTCCAGGCTGAGGCTCCAGTTACATCAGTTGCTTTCATGGGCCTTTTTCCTACCATTATTTATTCTTACTGCCTTCCCTGCATTCATGGTTGTATTCTGAGAAATGCGTGAGATGCAATGTGCTGCATGTGGCACCAGCATATCTTCTGTTTCATTTTCTGTTCTTTCCTAACACTTCCTCCTGTGAAAAAGATAAGTCCACTGCTAAGTGAACAGGTCCTGTTGCTGCTTCCATGCTTTAGATCCTACAGCAGTGACCAAAGAGTTGATGTGCAAATACCTTGAACACTGGCTCTTGATCATAGAGGGAAGGATGACTCCGACTTCAGTACTTCTCAGGTCCTGTTGCTTGTGCTTTGCATAGGCTGTGAGATTAACTGCAAAGGTAGAAATGCCTTCACTGTAACAGAACATGTTTTTCCTTTAGTGTTTCCCGTAATTAATCACTGTTACCAAATTCTTTTGCCTTACCTATCAGTATCAACGCCCATGGCGACCACGCTTCTGACTAGCCCTTGGAAAGCAGATGGGTGGTATTTATCCCACTAGCCCTTTAGCCAAGGGCTCAAAGCAGAGGCATAAGTCCATAAGCATTTTGATTAATCGAGAAGCTTGTTTCTAGTAGCTTGCTTTGATCAAAATTATTACCTTGAACCTTGCTGGGAATTTTTCAGGAAAATATGAACTGCCAGCACTGCCATTTTTTGTGGACACTTACTGTTTTCAGTTAAGTTCTCAGTTTGGAGAGTTTTCTTGACACTTGATGATGAAGAAGGAAACAGTATAGCCATAGTTCCATAAAGCATGGCATGACTTGGGCCTTCTGCATCACTGAGCATCCTAAATCCAAAGTAATGGTCGGTATGCTTCTCTCAGCAACAAAGCTGGCCTAAGATCTTGGCTCAATTTGGGCAGGTGCAGTTCTGTATGGGGTTACACTGTAAACCTTGTCACTTAAATTACCTGGTTTTACAAATCTTCCCCACTTCCACTCCAATGCCAGCCATGTTTGGGGGAGTAAGCTGTAAGGGGGCATCCATTCTTTGTTTCATTGTTTGCTTGCTTTTTTGCTAATTCAAATAATTTTATTTCAGTGATCTAGTATATGGATTATCACTGCCCTCTCCCATAATGCTGATTTAAACACACAGCAGACTCTAGCCTAATTCTCTTGGTTGGGCATTAAGGCTGATAGTCACCAAGGGCATCCAGGTGCAAATCCCTGTTCTGCTTTCATTCAGAGCAGGCACTTGAAACTGATTTCTAAAATCCAGATGATCATCATAATTCCCAGTATGTTCAGCAATCTGGTGTGTTTGGCCTTTACCCTCTGCCTGTAGTGATGGTGATTTTGAAAGGCCTTGTAGTCAGCCTGACTCTTAAATATTGAAGCCTACCACCTTTATGAAACAAAATTCTGCTTTCCAGGTTGCCTGCTCTGTCAGCTGTACAGAGCACCACATGATGGCCCTGCTCATTGCAGAGCTGTGTGACTAGATGACCTTAAAAGGTCCCTTCCAACCCAAAGATTCTATGATTGTATGAAACACATATATTTCTGTCCTGAAGATGCGGGATCTTAATTAAGAACCTGAAAGATACTTCATCTTGTATTATCTCTAAAAATATTTACTAAAATATCATATATCAGCAACAGGCCAGATAGACTCCCCCGAATGTGCTGTTTTTCTGTGCTAGAATTTGACAAGATGAAATCTACCAGAAAGAAAGAAAAATTACAAAATTCCGTGTGTCCCAAAGAACAGGGGAGCCACCCTTTTGGGACAAAGTGCTTTTCATGCAGCTGCTGTGCTTCTCCTTCATCCCCACCCCAGCTTCCCAGTGTCGCAACTCTCTAATTCATTTTGTACATGACTAATCGTTAGCATTTTACATCTTCTAAATTTTTTATTAATTATTAGTGCTTATAAGGTCTCTTACAGTTGTAATGCATTCTATTTAATATTATCATGTTACTAGAAATACCAGAAATGCACATAAAACCAGTATACACATACTTTTGCTTTGGGATACAAACCCAAAGTAAATATAGTTAAGAGGATAGATCTTGATGAATATCAAGATTAATGATTAATTAATGATATGCCACCAGGATTTTTTGTTGCCCCTCGACCTCCAACTCATGTTATTTCCTTTAACATTTTCTGACATGTAGAAGGAAGGCAAAGGGGAAGAGGGGAGTCTCAGGTCACTCATAGGCTGTGATACAAAGTTGAGGGTATTTATTCCTTGCTCCTTTGCATACTGGTAAAGTTTGGATCTTTTCATGAAATACTGTTGGACTGCTCTGCAGCTGCCTGTGTGTATCTAAGAGTTTCAGCCGTGCTGATGGCCTTTTTAGAAATAAGTTGTGATACAAAGTGCTAGACTTTCTGATTTTTTTTTGTTAGCTTTAAAAAAAAAATAAAGGAAACTATGTACACTATACTATTACATGTATGCTACCATATACGTTACTACTACACAAGTAAATGCATTTAAAGATTAAGCTAACAAAGGCATGCATGCAAATTAGGATGTCAGCAGTTATGCTGCTTATACACCCTTCATTCAGCTGTCTCCTACATTTTCTTTAATTACATGATCATGCAGCCCCCTTTCAAATTCAGTGCCTGGGATAAGCCAGCTCTAAAGATGAACAAAGGTAATAAAATGCCTCATTCCTGCCAGGATTTGGAAGGCACATGTGGAAAGAGACAGAAGACTGCAGGGAGGGAGAGCTTGGGGGCATGACTGGGGCAGTTGAATGTGCCCCTCAGAGATGATGGCAGTCAGCGCAGAAGGCACGTGAGGTCCCAGAGGTGTGGAAGAAGGCAGAGTTCATCCCTCTGGAAAGGGCCAAGGGAAGTTCTGGGAAATGCAAAGGAGATACTGGGGGAATGCATTAACCTCTTGTTTTCTAAGAGTCTAGAAGGTAGCATGATGGCAAAACCATAAAAGGGTTTATCAAGAACAATTATCTTGAACTGACAGCACAACACCTGTCATAGAGTACAGAGGGGAGGCAGGAGATGTGATAGAGCCTGACTTTGATAAGGCTGTCCGTGCTGTTTTCACTCCTGTAAAGGAACTAGAGAAATACAGTTTAGGTGTTACTGCTTTAGCAGGAAGAGGGCATAGGGAGTTGAGAATGATTTTCAAAGAATAGGTCTCAGTAGCTCACCATAATGCAGGATTCTGCAGGCATCTGTCCCGAGTCTGTTGTCTTCATCATTTTCAATACAGATTTAGATGATGGCATCGTATGTACACTTAAAATCCCCAGATGACTGCAGTGGGAGGGAATGCAAGCACTTTAGATTACAGGATTAGAATTCAAATTTATTTTAAATGATAAAATAGAAATGTAGGAAAGTGTAAGGTGCTTTATTGACACATGGAAAAAAGTCAAAAGCAGAGATGGGGAGCACTGACCAGCCAGCTAGGCAGTGGCTTTGCAGATAAGAGCCTAGCAAGTGCTAGGCTAGTGGCTCACAAATGCAGCAGGAGTCAATGCTGTCACACTATCATTGCTAACACACATTTAGTTCCAGCAAGCGTTACAGGAGTGTTGTCTATAAGATTCGAAAGAGAATTGCTCTGCTCAGCTCTGATGAGGACTTGGCTGGAGTATTCGGGCCAGTGCAAGGGCACTGCCCTTGGAAGGATGTGCAGATGAACTGGAAGGAATGGGGAGAAAAATAAGAAAATAAAAAAATCAGCTTCAGAAAATACAGGCAGTGAGAGTGTTTGAACAAGTTGGCTTTTAGGCTAGACAAAGGCTGAATAATGAAAGGAGACGGGAGGATGTAGTCAGGTAATGTGAGAGATCAGGCAAAGCATTCAGCTATGAAGCTGAATAGGGGCACAGGTTATTTCTGAAGGCTGTGAAATCTCTCACTGGAGGTTTTTAGAAGCAGGTTAGGCCAATATCTGTTGGAGATGGCTCAGGTATAATTAATCTGCTGTAGTGCTGTGGGAGTTGATTTTTGTTGTGCCTTTTTGGTTTTTTTTATTGTCGTGGTGGTGGAGTTTTTGCATGGCCTTTTGCTGTGCATTTCCAGGATTCACAGTTCATCTTGAGGGTGCTCACAGGGCAT